TTCTTTTTATTATTATAAATAAATAACAATATAATATCATTATAAACAAATTTAAATTACACTCCAGCGTACGAAAGTCAATCTGTTTCAAATAAATTACAAAAGTTACACCGCTTCAAACAGCAAACAGCAAATACTTCGTCTCAAATCCTGTCCAAAGATCGCTCCGTTTGAAACAACGTACAAAACTAATTACTGTATTCTAAATTAAGTACCCAAATCCCTCCGTTTCACATATCGTACAAGAGTCAGTCCGTTCGAAACAGCGTCCAAATGAAATGTAGCTCGCCGGCAAACATAATGGCACTTCTCTCTCGCGATACACTGCCATAACATCTCTGGCTGGAACCGGGCATTTGACATGCAGCAACCTGATCAATTAGTTAAAACAAGTGACTACCGACGATCTAGGAGTCAATGCCGCCGTCCGTGATGGCACACGCTGCATCGGAAAGGGCCGAACGTCCCGTTTCTGCGGCCTCTAGGATCCAGGCGGTGGCTCTAGGCCGGCTGTCAAAGGGTCGGTTAGAAAGATGCATAGGCGAGCATTATGCAAGTTTCAAGCGTGATCGATCGCGGTCGGTCGGCCCCCGGTCTGGGGGTTTGGTTAACACGTTCCGTGCCGAGCTTTTTTCACTCGAATCTTCACACTTTGATATTTTACTAAAACTTGATGTATTACGTGCAATTATTAATTCTCGTACACACGACAACGTAACAAAAACTTATCAACGCCCATTCTTGCGGTGGAAATTGATTCTTCGGTTCTAAATTTCTTGTAAACAATTTGTTCGGTTCACTAAGCAAACATGCAAGCGTGTACCATCGATGGTACACGTGGCACGGAACGTGTTAATCGCACGCGTGCCCGCCGCTGCATTTCGCACACTCACCGTTCTCGGCGTTCAACTCGGCGGCGGTTCTGTAAGACATAGGCCTGCCGAAGTCGCTGGCGTCGCTCGGGTGCAGCAATAATTGATGGGACGCCCTGGAATGATGCCTGGACGTGGACGCGCGGTGCAAGTGAACACTATTTAGGACGGTGCTGCTGGAGGCGCGGCTGAGCGCCTCCTTTTGCCGCACAGCCTCCTTGTAGATCTTGCAGTACATTACGATCATCACGAGACCCGGGATCCAGAAGGAGACCGACGAACTCACCACTGCGTAACGAGGGTTCACCACGAACACGCACACCTGGTTCAGCGGGGAATCAACGGTGAATCTTTTTTTTTGAGGAGGGGGGGCGATATGTTCGGTTTCGTTTTCTTGGGATGTTGATCTTCGTCGAACTACGATTCCCATTTTTCATTGTTACCGGTACAGATTTCTGGATAACTTCGATTTTTCATTCAGGTGTTAACTCGTAAGATCTTTTGTAATATTTTCTTTTTGGTACTGATAATCGACGCTGAAGGATTTCTAGTACAATTCAATTTTTATGCTGGAGTTCTTAAGTACTATGTATCCTATTTGATTTATTTTTTAGAGGGACGTAGTTCAATTTTGATGAGAATGTTCTTAAGCTAAGCGACGCAAGAGAATAGACTTTTTAGGAAGAAAGAACTTCTGAAATATTTTTTATTATTTCATTCCAGGACTATGGTATTCGATATTAAAGTATCGGTAGCCTTCTGGAATTTTTAGGAGGAAGTTTTTAAGTGTGGATTGAAAGGGGATTTTTTGTAATATTTTTCATTGGCGTACTGGCATCAAATACTGGAATGACATTGGTCCAATGGAGTCAGACACTAAAGTATTTCTAGTCTTCTCGAATTCTCGAAGAGAAAGTGTTAAATATACAGGCGGGCCCATGATTATGTTAACAGTTGGAAATATGTGATTACTGAGGTCATTCTAAGTGACTTTTTCCTTTACAAGAATTTTCTCCGAGGCATCGGTCACGAGTTATTAACGAAAAACGGTGGCCAATGAGAGGCGAGGTCAACTGGCGCGAGGCGGAACAAAGCGGCGGAGCCAATCAGCGGAACTGGGCTTCGCTGGCTGAGCCGCTCCACGCCAGCTGATCTCGCCTCTCATTGGTCAGTGTTTCTCGCTAATAACTCGTGAACGAAACCACGGATTGTATTTTCGCTGAGAAAAAGGCTAACACAAATCGTTGCTCGTTATTAAAATTCAATTTGTTATTATTGAAGAACCTGCGTGTTTCTTCGCGAAATGAATGAATAAATACTAAGCAATTAAAATGACAATTGATAAGTAACAATTGAAATTCTATTTATAAATAAGAAATGAATTTCATTATTTTAAATAATTTGTTTAGGTCCACAGATCCATGTAATATATTTAATAATATATATAATATGTATAATAATATTTTCAATACATCATATGTATTATACATTATACAATAATATTTATAATATATATTTAGATCCATGTAAGTAACAAAATGAATGCAAAATAAATCCAAATAAATAATAAACAATAAATCTAATAACACTGATATAATAATATATACTTGAACCTCCAAATAACAAATAATTTTTCTATCTAAATTGTCACTTAAATGAACATTCTGCTTAAACGATGCCCAACTCCGCGTCATCCGCAGACGAAAAATCATCAACGACGAGTGTCGTTGGCCGAAACAGTTAATGACGCTGTTCAAGGAACTCGCGAGAAAATTCCACGGCTGGGAAAGCAATAAATTTACCGGCGGGGCGGTATTGGAAACGGAGCCTCCATTTCGACTGCAATTTTCCCATACGGGCCTTGTAACAATGTGCACGGAAGTGAGCAAAATGCTCGCGTTTACGTGCTCCTGCAATATATCCGAACAAAGTTGTAAGTGCTTAAATATCGCAGAGAGGAGCGAGGAAGGGGGAGGGTGAGACGGGCTATAAAACAAGGGGATATGAGTTGGGATATAATAACCGGCCGCGTTGTTTGGAAACTATGTTAGCTGCGTTTGAACAAGAAACATCGGTGTCCGTTCACGGCGAACGAAGATGTTCAACGTTACGGATCCCTTTGATTGTTCTCGCTGTTCAAATAAACGAGGCTGTGATGCCGGGCACGAAAAAAGAGAAAAAAAGAAGAAAAGAACGAGGTTTTTAATCGCTTCCGTGAGAATGCATCGGAAACAATAGAATTGTTGCGGCACACGTGTCGTAAATTGCCGGGCGAAAATCTGATTGATGCTTCGAATTGTTCGAATAAGAATTGTTTCTCGGAGGAGGACGATTCGATTGTTCCTTTTTCGGGACAACAGGAATTGATTAGACGCGCGACTGCATCGTTTTATCGCGACTCTGCATACACGAAAATGTGATTTCCTCGGGAACAAGTTCAAATAATGTCCGAGCAAATGAGCGCTTGCGTAATCGCGAGTAACGAGAAAGTGTACCCGAGGAGACGGAAACGAGGGAATGTAAGAAATATCTTACGGGGGCTATTAAGCGGAAATGAGGGACAAATAAGGATGGAGGAGGGTTAAGGTGGCAGCGGAGAGAAGAGGACGCGCGATGGACGTGCTAAGAGGATTAAAGGAGAGCAAGGTTGCAGAATTAGATGGGACACATAATAATAAGTGGATTTATTATAATGTTACGCTGTGGATTTCTGCAGACATTGTCGTAAATTGTATGCTCTAATTTTGTGCTCTTTTTTGAGAGTTCCATACATTTTGATGATATTATAATTTATTTTAATTGCGTATAAAATTGCTTTATATTTAAAATCCATGTTATAGTGATCGTCTTTGTGAACGATGAGTGGACAACTCATAAGCACATGTAAGAAAAAAATATGTATATATTATATTATATTATATATATTATTATACATATATTATATTATATTATATATATTATTATACATATATTATATTATATTATATATATTATTATACATATATATTATATTATATATATTATTATACATATATATCATATTATATATATTATTATACATATATTATATTATATTATATATATTATTATACATATATATCATATTATATATATTATTATACATATATTATATTATATAAATTTATATATACGAGTCCCCTTTTTCTAACGTAGATTCAAAGACGAAATGTGAAATTCATAAATTACGCAAAAATATATAATAACGAGAGAATATCCTGAAGAAATGACAACTGTCTCCATTAATTTCCTAAAACAGAAGCTTGCAATGCATTGATCCTATTAAGAGTTTCAATCGTCTAAATATAATACGCCAATGACATTTCACGCTTCTAATAATTTCACTATTTCCATGTTTCACATTATCAGTTCTCTCATAAATGCATCGAGACCAAGTCCATCGCGGTTCACTAATTATAGTACAGCGAACATAATTACGACGAACGAACGCGATCAAATATTAATACTTTTTCGAGTACGAATGATGACTTGACTTAAAAAAGAAGCGTTATAAATCAAACGAAGCAAATAAATCGAACGTTAATTAATTGCGCGAGCAATAAGACGATTTACCTTTATTTATTTTTTCAATCTATTTTCTGCGAGACCCGAGTCGGCGTCGCGTCTCAATTTGTTCTTTAATTAAACAGACCAGAGAAGCTTAAATGGGACCGGAATGTCTTAACTGTACCTAAATAGAGGAGAAAATGTTATTCAGTCTGCAGAAGAACTACGTAGATTAGTAAGAATTAAATACTGCTCCGTTTAACAAAGAAAATGGTGGTGTGTCCTCATTTTCCTCGAGCCAGACAAATTTTCTGCGCGCAACATATTCCTGCTTCAACACTGAACCTACCGTATTATAATCTCTCTTCTAAAATTGTTCAAGTTATGAGGTAGGAAATCATTTTATAAATTTCTTGATTTATAAGCGTTACGTTATAGTAAAAATAACGAAACGTCAAAATAAATTCAGTCTCGTCATTCTCATGAAATAATACACGTTGGTTGCTTTTTTAGTGCTCGGTAGGTTTAGTGTTAAAGGGGTATTGTGAAGGTATGCAGGGTAATTGTGTTGATTAATATATAATTATGTTATATTTATTATATTTATTATTATGTTATGGATAATTACGTTAACACCCGGAAAGAGGGGTTCCCGAGGTCATTTGAAGCAACTTTTTCCTTAGCGAAAATGCAATCCGCGGCTTCGTTTTCGAGTTATTAGCGAAAAACAGTGGCCAATGATAGGCGAGAGATCAGCTGACGCGAGGCGGAGCGAAGCGGCCGAGCCAATCAGCGGAACTGGGGCTTCGCTGTCTGAGCCGCCCCACGCCAGCTGATCTCACCTCTCATTGGTCCATGTTTTTCGTTAATAACTCGTAAACGGAGCCGCGGATTACATTTTCGCTAAGGAAAAATTTATTTCAAATTATCTCAGGAATCACCCCTTTCTAACTATTAACATAATTATAGGACACCCTGTATGCTTTCGAAAATATTTCTACCAAAGAATATTGTCTATAATCCGAACCACAATGAAATTATAAAACCATTATTTTTCTTTTTTTTAGCTTGCTGAAGATAAAAAGGAAAAACCAACAAAAATTGACACCTCAACGTCAAAATTCTGCCGATTTTATAAATTATAAACAATTTTCTTCCTTCGTGGCTTCAGCGATAGCCGAATTTACCCTGATCAAGAATCTTTTTCCTTTTTTTCTTGCTTTTGGTTTCAGACGAATGTTATCGGAGAATGGGTTAAGGATGGAAATGGAAGCGAAAGGGGTGGTGCCAGGCAACGAGACGGTCTTTTGAAAGCGAACAGGGTGGATTTACGTTAGAAGAAAATGGGGTTGAAGAAGAAACTAACGAGGAAACTTTCGGCAACCCGAAAATTCCGACTTTTCTCGAAGTTCGCAGGTTCGTTGGGGACCTCGATAAAAGCATCCAACAACTTTTCTTGCTGCTATTTGTTTCTTACGAGTGGATACATTCCGCAAAGGTTAATCCGTGTTTTCTTGTTCACCTTGAAAATCATAGCGGAGACAAGGGAATTGTTGGAATTTGAATGCCGCAGTTTTTTCTGCTCGGCGAACCGCAATACTGAAATCGTTACGAAGTTTTCATCTAGGCGACCGAACATTCCCTCCTTAAGAGCGCGCACTGAAGCATTTGGGCTAAAAGGTTGGCCAAAATTGTTTCATTCGTTTCATTCGCGAAAGGAAAAATATAACAATATATATAAATATAATAATATCATGATAAATATAACAATGCCATTATTTGCAACGATTTCGCAGAAAAACGTCCACCGTCGTTTCCTTCTATTTAGTCATCGTGGAATCAAGGAAACACGAATTCGTACAAAAAAAATAGCAGTACAGTAATAACCGTAACCTCATTAGCAGTAATCTTCGACAATCGTGGGAGCAAGATCTGGAATCCAGATTGTACGAGCCGCAGAAGCAACGTATTGCCGCAGAACTAAATCTCTGTTGAATAAATTATGCGATTTATTTTTTAGTTGTTAACAAAATTGTAGGATCCAGATGATTGATGTCTTCAACTATGTTAAAAAGAAAGGAAGGTAACAATAATAAACCTAATATTTCAATATTTGTGAAGTTAACACGTTCCGTGCCACGTGTACCATCGATAGTACACGCTTGCATGTTTACTTAGTGAACTGAACAAATTGTTTACAAGAAATTTAGAACCGAAGAATCAATTTCCACCGCAAGAATGGGCGTTGATAAGTTTTTGTTACGTTGTTATGTGTACGAGAATTAATAATTGCACGTAATACATCAAGTTTTAGTAAAATATCAAAGTGTGAAGATTCGAGTAAAAAAAGCTCGGCACGGAACGTGTTAACCTGACAATCGATTGCTGATGATTCGCAAAGCACAATTTAATGATAATTTTGCTTCTCTTTGTAAAATTGCAGTTTAATCCAGGATAAAACGCCGGCTCGCCACGAAGGTTTCTCAGAAAACCGCGAGACCTGTAAAGCTTTCAAAAAAACGCTTTCGCCGGCCAATCGGATCGCATTGTCGTAAGGCGCGAATGATCGAAGCTGTAGTAGACGATGCGGCGAAGGGAAATTCTGAATCGAAAAACAGTTTCGGAAATGCTGCAATCTGCATCGAAAATCAGCGCATGTGCCGGACGTGGATTTATGAAAGCTATTAATTCCGCGTTTCCGTTTACGGTACACTCGAATCAGAGTCGGACGCTAAATCATATTTATGTAAATCCCGAAGGTCGTCCGTCTTGGCCATCGCGCGTTCCCTCCGATTCCTTCCCCGCCTCTGTTTCGCGATCCGCGTCGGGGCCGATTGAAGTCCGTCTTGCCCGATCGAACTCTAAACACCCGCTAAATAGCACGCTATTAACACGTTGAATGCCACGGGGGTCACCGGTGATCGGCACTTAACTTGGCGGTGACGCCATGGGGGCCATATATACGCCGGCGCGCCCGTATATTATATAATTTATATTTATATATTTATATAATTATATATAATTATATAATTTAATAATAATATAATAATTAAATAATATTTTATATTCATATAATTTAAAAGAAATGTCAATATCTAAAATTTTGTATTATTACCATCGTCGATTCAAATAGTGACCCCTGTCGCAATTAACATGTCAAACATGGTTGTACACTGTAACTTATCTATTGCAGATAATATTTCAACATTATATGTATCATATAATATATAATAATAATAATAATAATATAATATATATATAATATAATATAATATAATNACATTATATGTATAATATAATATATAATAATAATAATAATAATATAATATATATATAATATAATATAATATAATATAATATAATATAATATAATATAATATAATATAATATAATATAATATTTATGTTATATACATAAAAGAAAATTCACCATGGCGCCATGGACAATTTCTGTAAAACCGGCGTGGCATTCAACGTGTTAATTGTTGCGCCGTAGAGAGGAAAATTTCACGCGGCTTATCAGGGGCACGCCTTCTCTGGTTCGACCGGCGTGATCGACTGCGAAAACGGTCGCGAATTACGAATTCACGCGGAACGTGACGCAGCCGAATGCAACGATCCCGTCGGAAAGCGGGTCGAATTCATTTTCGATTCGTTCGATCGTTCCCCGGACAAATGAGAGTTTGCTACGGCACTGAATCGAGGATCGCCGGCGATGCTCAACGAGACCGGCCGATAAAACGAACAAAATGCTGGGGAACGTCGGACCTAGAAAACGGACCGGCATTAATTCGATTCGAAACGGAAACGGGGAACAAACTTGTTTGAAATTATTCGTTATTTTCCGACAGCGATCATCTAAATCGATCAATTTCGAACGATGAATTGTTTCGATCTCATTTTAGATGTGACTTGCAACGTGCAGCAAAGGATTTTATTTTAAGGTTTTAGCGAAATTGCCTTCCCATCAAGATACAATTCTTGAGATAATATAATAATAGTATAATAAGATTTCGTTATAAGAAATTATTACTGCAATTTGCTTTCGTGAAAACTCTTTCCTTAAAATGGTCGATTTTAATAGGATAATATAACGTTGTCAAAAATATTACAAAAAAATGTTTTCTAGTATCGAATAATCGTTTAACACGGATCGGCGTTTTTATCTTGCAGAAATGTCAATGAAGATGTCAGTATAAACCAGTCTCGCTATACAGAGTGTCGTAAAAATGTCTCACAATCTTGAAATGGAAGGTTCCTGACGTGATTTGAAGTAACTTTTTCCTTAGCGAAAATGCAATCCGCGGCTTCGTTTACGAGATATTAAGGAAAAACTGTGACCAATGAGAAGCGAGCTCGGCTGGCGCGCCAGCCAACGAGCGCACGAAGCCCAGTTCCGCTGATTGGCTCCGCCGCTTTGCACCGCCTCGCGCCAGCCAAGCTCGCTGCGCTTCTCATTGGTCACCGTTTTTCGTTAATAACTCGTAAACAAAGCCGCGGATTGCATTTTCGCAAAGGAAAAAGTTACTTGAAATCACCTGCGTAAATACAGGAGACTATCAAAGATTACATTCATCTATCAATAATTTCAATAAATTGAGAACTCGCGAAATCTATAGTGCGGTAACCCAAACAATTTCCAGAGAAACGATGAATTCGGAACGATCAACATCACCAGTAAAACATTGCGTTCTACACCGGAATTTAAATGTCACCTTCGCATCTGACCAAAAAACATTCGCAGTCGGTTCTTCGAGGAAGAAAGTCCAAGGCACACCAATGCTCGCAATAATGAATGCTAATCCTCAACACTAAACCTACCAAAGCACCAAAGGCGACCGTGTGCAGTTTCTGAAGCCGCTTCTAAAAATTGAATATATTTAAATTTTCCATCATCTTTATCACAACGTACGCTTCCATTAAACACACTGATTAGTAAATATTATTATTAATTAAATAATGAACAACTATAAAAACGAAGCGTAAGATTCGAACCACAATTAGGGAGAATTTACTGTAATTAGTTATCTCAATTATTTATTAAATAACTAGAAATTATAGCTAGGAATTGTACTGATAGATCTATCAAAGTTTGGAATCATATAATATGCAGGGTGTCCCTGAAAGATACGTGGAAGCAAATACCCAGGCGATTCTTCGTAAAAAATATGAAAAGAATATACAAGAATATACAATTTCCTTTTTTTGAAATTGTTTCAGTCTTCGAGAAAATCGAGTTCGAAAGTTCGCCTTTCTCGAAAACTAAGCCCCAAACAAAAAAATATTATTCCACGTTTCCTTTCTATAAGGAATCAGCTGGTGCCAGCTTGCATCCTTCCAGGCGCACCCTGCACCCTTTTCAAAGAAAACCCTGCTCAGTTTGTCTCCTCAACAGCAATAAAAACGAGGCTCAAAGCTCGAATAATCTCCTCTTCTCAAACTATCCAATCTTTATGCACAACCTAAGCGCTAATTAGAGTGAAACAACAGTAAAACCACGAACCCAAGAGATCCGTACCCGAAGAAGAACACCTATCGTCACTCAAAATCCTCGCAACGAAGCACGATCATCATACCACGAGCATCGGTGCACCCCCGTCTTCCCTCGAAGCCCGAACAACGCGTCGCGAACTAACAAAAAAAAAGAAAAACTATAAGAATCCCGAAGAATCCCAAAAGCTGTGCACGTTCACCGAGGACACACGCGAACGTACTCTACCTCAGGCTTCTGTACAAGGTCCCTTAGGTGTTGCTCGGTGGTGTACCAGCCTAGGAAAATCGGTATGAAGCTGATGAGGGCGGGCAGTAGCCAGGCGCTGCCCAGCATGCAGGTCACGGTGATTCTCTTCATGATGGCCGGGTACTCTAGCGGCCTCACGATAGCATAGTACCTGTCCACGCTGATGCAGCACAAGTGTAGAATGGACGCGGTGGAGAAGTAAACGTCCAACGAGCACCAGACGTCGCACATCACTCGGCCGAATATCCAGCGACCCGACAACTCGACGGACGCGTTGAAGGTCATCGCACAGACAGCCACTAGAAGGTCCGCGGCAGCCAGGCTGACGACGTAGCGATTGGTGGGCACCCGGAGCTTCCTGTGCCTCCTAACGCTGGCGATGACCAGCGCGTTGCCGATCAACGCGGTCACGATGATGCTGATCATGACCACGCCCTTAGCCACCGTCCAGACGAGATTCTGCTGCTGGTAGGTGTCCCCGGTGCTGTTCACCGCCTGCAACGTCTGCTGGACGGTCGTGTTCACCGTCTCCGAGAGCCTGCCGATGCCGGACGTCGAGCCGATGCTGCCTAGCGGTGCGTCTTCGTCCGATGGCTCACTGACTTCCATTCCAAACGGAGCGGCCCCGGTGCATGTTAGGCGCCGGGATACCGTTCAAGCCGCGCTCTCTCGCTCCCGGAACACGGTCTTGAAGTTCTGGAAGCTCTCGAGGAGGATGGAGCGGTCACGGGCCCGGTCCTGGCCGACGGCGGGCATCCTGGCAAGTTTCGCGACGCCGACGTCTCGAGGCTGGATCTCGATCAGGATCGCGAGGAACGGTCGAATTCAAGGCGTTCGATTCATGCCAGCCGTCTTCGGGCTAAGGGCTGACTCTGTTTATACTGACGCGTGGAGATTCGATTAGGCCTTTGAGCGCGGAGCCGATTTCGCTGCGTCGTTTTCGTCGAGGCGGCAGGACGGCGTTATTTTTCAGCCTTGGCGTCGCCGGTTCTGTTTCCTCTACCTGCGTACTTTTCGAAGAAAATTCCGCTCAGTTTTTCGAACCATGTGTGCGCGTATACCGACAAAAATATCGCGGGAAATATCGATATATACCGAGTCGAATTTGTCGGGATGCTTTAAAGTGTTATCAAGAGGTTCGTGCGAGAAACAAAACAGCCAGAAAAATAGCTTTTTAGCTGGCAAGTGCGACATTCCATGCACTGTTCTTCTGAAAAAAGAAAGAGATAGGTTCGAAGACAATCGTTCTTGAAACCGCCGCGAGGATGCCGATCCGGCTTACGAAGTTGATAACAGGTACACGAAGCTCGTCAGCTTAACTTTGCCATCGTTCTATCAGGTAGATCGTTTGATTAAATTCCGTGAACACCGGCGTCAAGACAACTGGGCCGAAGTTCTTGAGCGTTCGCCGGACGTGTTCCCTCCTGATTCTCAGATTAAACAGATGTTGTTGAGAACGAGTTTCTCGCGGGCTGCCCGGTTTATTAGACGAGTTCGCCGGCGATTCTACGTTCGGCGCTATTCGAATTAATTATCGGCGACCACTGTGGGATCACGGTTTCCCGTAGCCGGGGTCGCGATGCCGAGGCCTGAACTTTAAATGGCGAGCCATTTGAATCGCCGGCGACATTTGTTTAATGAAATAATAAATATATATAATAAATATATATAATAATAAAGGGTTAATCCTTTGCACTCGAGCTGCGACTCTGCGGCGCCGTTAAAAACTATTGTATCACGTTACAAAATAATCTGAACATTGTCAAATCGGTTTATACATAAAAAATCTGCTAAAAGTGTAACTGTTGCACAGGTCACAAAATGCAGTTTCATGTGTACAAAGTGCATTGAGTTATATAAATAATAATATATAAATAATACTAGAAGTCGAAGGAATTATTTTGAATCTCGAGTGTAAAATGTCTCCGACAGCAAAGGGTTAATTTCTGCTGGTGAACGGACTCTATCCCCGCCAGCAATGGCACCGCAGAGACGTCCGGAGTGGTTAGGGAAGGGGTAGTTAACCGAATCGTTGCTTTGCCATTCGTACACCGGTGAAAACCAATTTACTCTGACGGGATTTTCCGGCTTGTCGTTATTATGTTAATACGACGGATGCTTTTGGCCGTGGTATGCGCCCGAGAGCCTTCGACCGAACCGGCCGAGTTAGGCGAACCGCGCCGTTAGGTCTTTGTTCCGGGTCGTCCGACGTTGTTTCGCTTTGTTTCTCGTTAATATAATACGCGGTCCGACCGAGGCCGCATTGTTTGCCTGCCCCCGGGCTTTATTTCCAGAATTCTTCCCTGTTTATGCGCCCGACGCTGCTCGTCCGATTGTTTTTCGGCTTTTCCCGGACGAGCGCGCGCGCTCTCTCTCTCTCTCTCTCTCTCTCATCGCCGCGTCTCGTTTACGGTGGATATATTTCGCCGGGGCTGATGTAATGCCGGGAAAAGGAACACGGTACAGTTATTTCTCCCAGAATTGTTCGGAGCGCGAAATTGACGACCGGCAGATCCGAGAGTACTAAGTCGCGATTCTTCGGGCATCGCGGCTCGTTTTTATGGAAATTTGGGGCACTTGGTGAGAAAATGGAGCGATCAGAGTGCCGGTGTACATTAATATGAATACGCAGCAATGGTAGAATAAAAACGATGGCTTAACTTTTTTATTTCTAATTTTTTGCCACGATTGGGAGGCAATTCGGAGGCCGCGTGACGCGATTCGAAGGCAATTCGGAGGCCATGTGACACGATTCGAAGGCAACTCGGAGGTAATTAGGAGGCAATTCGAAGGCAATTCGAAGACGATTCGGAAGCAATTCGGAGACCACATGAAGCGATTCAAAGGCAATTCGGAGGCCACGTGACGCGATTCGAAGGCAATTCGAAGGCCACGTGACGCGATTCGAAGGCAACTCGGAGGCGATTAGAAGGCAATTCGAAGGCGATTCGGAAGCAATTCGGAGACCACATGAAGCGATTCAAAGGTAATTCGGAGGCCACGTGACGCGAATCGAAGGCAATTCGGAGGCCATGTGACACGATTCGAAGGCAATTCGGAGGCGATTAGAAGGCAATTCGAAAGCAATTGGAAGGCAATTTGAAGGCGATTCGAAGGCAGTTCGGAGGCTACACGACGCGATTCGAAGGCAATTCGGAGGCCACACGACGCGATTCGAAGGCAATTCGGAGGCCACACGACGCGATTCGAAGGCAATTCGAAGGCCACGTGAATAATCGTATCTTCTCTCCCTAAATTGTTCATTTTTGCGAATAATCAGCTGGTAAGCACGTCGAGGCGTTTTTATTGACGTAGAATCGTTTCTCTTTATTCCGAGCAACTACAAGATTGTTTATAATAAAATTACGCCGCGCTATTATTGATATATATTAAAATTATGTCATGAAAGTCTAGAACATGATTCAAATAACAACGTCGTTATTCATCTAAAAGATTAACGCACACGCCAAATACCAATTCTTGAATCTCATATGTCTCATAATCTCACAAATGATAATCTCAGGAGAACATATTACATTTATTAAAAAAATGACTAAACTAAAAGAACTCAACAATTTAATGTGCCTTATTCGATGAACATGAAGTCAATTTAAAAAACAAAAGGAGCAAAGAAGGAATAAACTGTTACAGCCATTGAACAATGAATGAATTCTTGGATTTACGATTTAATGAATGAATGAATGAAAACATACGTCGGTATCTATCTAAGATTATTAAAGACTTATTAACAGTTCGATCTAACCGTCCGCAAAGCAAATGAAACGCTAATAATGCGTTTTTGCCTGCAAGCAAGTCAAATCGATTTGCCGCGATCTCGAAACGCGAATGTCCATTGCAGTGAAGATTTGATGGATCGCAGGCTGCATACGCGATCGCATGCGTTTCATTTTCTCGCGGCGTCCGTAACTGCGCCCGTATTTCAGCCGAAAGCAGCATGACCGCCAAGGACCATCATCGTCACGACAGCCGGTCGGACCGTGGAGTCAAGGTTTCTCGATTCTTCGCGACATTACCGCGAAACGTTGGCAAACGGGGAACGCTGTGAGTCAGGGCCATTATCATTCGTTTCCTCTCGGTCCATCTCAATCGTGGAACACCGACGCATCCGGCCGTTAGCCGGCCTGCGACCGCTATCAATAAGTCCACTAGAGCCAAGGTCTAGATCACTTCAACGACAGACGCCGCCGCTGCACAATGATGCGAGCAATGGGAAAAGAGATCAAAAATCGATATTCCTTTTGTGATAAAAAATTATTACGTTATTATATTACTATTATTAGTTGATCGCTTGGAGCACAGGTCACGTGTTTCCTAATTTGGAAAAACTCGCACAGAGCGAAACGTTTCATTTTATGGCAAACGTTATTAATATTGGTGTTGTATACGTTATACAGGGTGTAATATTATTATTAATTATATATGTAATTAATTAAATATATATATATATTTATAAAATTATAAATAATAATTTTATATAATTTTATAAATAAATAAATATATATATTTATATAATTAATTATAATTATATATATATTGTATTATTAATTAATTAATTAATCGCATTAATATTCGGACACGATATTGTTACAAGAATTATTGCTCCTTTTTATTGTTTATGATAGTATTATTGAATCAATTGTTTTCTCATATAATAAAGCACTCCTTAAAGTGTGTAGAAACATAAATTTTGTTCATTTATTGCACACGTTCTTTTGTATAATATTAAATTGTTTCATTTAATTAGGGAGATTATTAGAGACCGAAACGTGCCGACCGAAGCGCCCAAAAAAGAAATCACGGTGCAATGAATGATTTATAATAACAAGAATAATTAAATGCGAGGAATACGGTGATTTTATCATCCTTTATTGTGCTCTATTGCAAAACGAATTTTTCCTTCCTCGTATGCTATTTCCAATTTCAATAGCAATTACTCGAAATAGGTAAAAAATCGTATTCCGTTCGATTGCATGGATTAAAAGTAAATAAGAATCGTATTACATTCCGTTGCAATGGATTCAAAATAGATAAAAATCGAATTAAATTCTATGAAGTTATTTCAGTGTTTCCGAACAAATTTTGAAAAGAAAAATGCGCGCAGATCCGCTCGACTGATTCGACTCGGTTCAACACGGCGATACAAGCCGCGAGATTAGGTTTGTTTCTGCGACAGCGTCGCGACGGAATTTATATTTTTTAACGCGTGGCAATTTAATTGTTTTTTTAACGCGCGCTGCGCCAAAACGCGGCGGCGGCCGCGAATTAACGAGCGACCGATTACGATAAATCTTCGAATTTAGTATAATTCGGGTCTATCAAAGGTTGGATCGTCGCCGGAGTCGGAGGATGCTTGACCGCAATTAAAGTCACCCGAAACACCGTAGATCCGGCGGAAGCACGATTAGGTACAGTCGCCGAGGATGCTTGGACTGGCTTGATTTCCTGTGCCCAATCGGTTCGCTTCAGCTTGCTAACAATGGGGAAACGACGCATGTTGTTCCATCGATTAGGGTGTTACTACACAGGATGTTCACGCGGACGACTGCGCCCAAAGAGCGAGACGGTTCTGTCGAGTTTACGTCAAACTGGAATTCCGTCCTTTCAATATTTCACGCGATTTTTTTTGGGGACCGTATTGTTTAACGAAATGCAATTTATTATTTAACTGGAAATATTCGATATCTAGCGTTTTACAATTTGAGAGCTAAATTGTGGGTGTATTTTTTTTTAAAGATCTCGTAGTAACAATCATCAATTGTCGGTGTAATATTATTGTTAATATTATTGTTAAAATTATAGATTATGATCCATTTTTCTTTGAAGATTAATTTTACAATTTCTTTAATTTTACAATAGATAGCAGCTCTTATATCGATCAAGGAATTACTAAACAAAATAAACGAAATTATAAAAAGACATTAAATTAAATAATTGAATATTAATATTGACTTTCTTTTCTTTTATTTGATTATAATAAAAATTGTGCTCTCCACGATTCGTGGCATCGCTATTTTTTGCAGCTAATTTGCGGAATCCTCATTTATCTAAATTTTAAGGTTATAATATAATAATAATAAGGTTATATATAATTATATAACTATTACAAAATGAAGGTAGCAGCGTGAATGATCATATTTTCAACAATTTGACAGAAAGAAAAGCTTTGCTTCAATAAACGGAACGTTATGT